TAAAAAAAGTAAAAAATGAAAAATTGACTACATCACGCCATGTATTTTGGGAAGGTTTGGTTATTTCATAGTGTCCTATTAATTTTGTTGGTATTGTAGCATGTATTTTTAATTGTTAATCTGTTAAGGGCACTTCTGAGCCATAAACTTCCCCCCCCTGAGTGTCCAATCCGACGAGCAATTCAGACTCGCTCCCCCCCAATCAATTAATGCTTACCGCGACTTACACGACAGTCCCCCCCTCATTCTTGATAAAAGAATATCGAAATTAGCTCAGGAAGAAGCTGTTGTATGTTAATTTTTGTTTTTTGTTTATAACTCGATATACGATCTACGATATATTTTCAGCGCTTATGCCAGCGGAAGGAAGCACGTGTAATTCCTTTTGAGGAACCTCATTTATTCTCAAATCTCACTTGCCATGCACTGAAGCCCTTGAAATGTATAAGCGAATGGTACAACGAAGGGGCCAACTACGACTACGATCACCACTCGCCCTCGCGTTTCACTCTTATGATTTGGAAATCATCAAAGTACATTGGTATTGGGTATTGCTCCGAGTATGTATGATAGCTAACTTTATACGCGAAGCATAAGTTAAGCTCTCATTTTAGCCTACAAGATATGATTCACGTAGTTGTCAAAATCTACCCTCCTGGCAATGAGATTGGACAATTTAGGGACAATGTTAAACCGCTATTTAAGTATGTTTGATCTGGTTATCTTGTTCAGCAAGTATATTTTGTATCTCCATTCTAAATCCTCAGCCAATGCTCCATACAGACGCCCAACTGTTTTGTCGCAGCTCTTTCACTGATAATTATTTATATAGCTGTTAAAGCGTCTATTCTCAACCTATAACAACAATTATTAATGGACCCATGGAATAAAAGTTTTCTTAAACTTGTCTATACGTCATAATTCAGTTCAATATTTACTTCGCTAAACAAGACCGACTGCAGATACCCTTTCCTGTTCAACACAAATGGCTGGAAATACATTGCAAGTGACGGGATGTGTAGCGATACATTTAGCACTGTGGATATGTAGACCGAATTGAAAACTAAAATATTACACTTTCAGTCACTAATGATGAAGCTGTGAGCCCAACACATAAGCTATTATACTTTGCAATTACGGGAATCGCATTTGCACACCAAGCATATCAAATGGGAAAAAACAGACATACATACATACATCGAAACATTTCATTTTATGGTCAAAGAAAACTCTTCGTTTTCTTAATTTTAATATGAGAACTTTCAAATTAATTAAATACCTCTTGCTTACAATGCCGCTTTTAGTTGCATGTTTCATTTAATTACAGCTTACATTGATTATTATTTGAGTTATTGCTCGATAGAATGGTACATGGTTTGCCCACAATCCACAATATAGACGGAAGAGAGACAAGCCAACAATAGTAATTGCTGCAGACTTAGAAGACTTTGGAACTGAGCAGCTATTTTGGATCAACTATATACGAAAAGACTCATTGAATCTGATAACTGTGGTGATACAACTATTTCTATTGGATCAAATTGCGCTTCAATTATTTTAGATATAAGTTGCATCGTAAAGATAAACAGATTTTTTCTCAAATGATTTGGGAAAACACCAGAACTTTCGGGATAGACACCGCTAGGCGGGCTGACAATTATTATTACGTTGTAGCAAGATATAAGCCGAAGGGCAATATTCCAGGGCTATATTCCCAGAATATACCGTAAGTTTTGATTGTTCAACGAAACTAAACATATTTGACATTCTATATATCAAGCAGGGGGATGTACGAAGACAGGGAGAGCAGCCCTGTTATACTTTTTTAGCCCTGTTATACTTTTATGGATGTGCTTGTATTTGTCTCGTAACTATTATTGTAACTATTATTGTATTTATTGTAAGCAAATATCAAAGAAAACTAATATATATCGATTAAATCGAAACAAAATATACAATCAAACATTCACATTTTGTAACATATTCATACTTCAATTTGTGTCTGACAGAAATTTTCGTTTTCAAAATTTTGCTATGAGATCATCCGAATTTCTTTTGTACTTATTGCTAATGATGCCTGTTTTAGCCGTAAGACTCGTTTAAATATAGCTTTAATTGGTTACTGTTTCAATTATTGTTGGATAGAATGGATGGGGCTATAGACGACACCGGCAAAGGCAGACAGAACAAAAGCCAACCATAGTAACTGCTGTAGATTTTGACGACTTTGAAAGCGAGCAGCTATTTTGGCACAACTATTTGCGCAAAGAATTTGATGGCCCAGAGCTCAAACTGGATCGCTCTCTCTCCGACGACTGTACAGCGTATGCCAAAGTACGTAGAATTCTTTAAATTGCCAACAGACCTACCGTAACATATGTGAGAATTTGTAGACGCTTGTCGCTAATAAAGGCAAAGATACTTACAATGAGTCCGCCGACTACGGTCAAATCGTGCATAAAAGCATGTTTCCAGAGCACTGCTCTCTCGAGTGGACCAAACTACGTCGGAAGTATTTTACAGGACAGCTGAAACCTTATGAAAAATCGATTTTTACTCAAATGGTTTGGAAAAACAGTTCAACTTTTGGAATCGGCGCCGCTAAGAGGTAAAAATTATGCTTTCAAAGCTATGAATATCTTACAAGGCAATCTTTTACAGGGAAGATCATCATTATTACGTTGTTTTAAGATATAAGCCAAGAGGCAATATCGCTAATCATTATAACGAAAATGTGCCGTGAGTATTGATATTTCATTGAAACCCAACATACCCTTTACATTCTCTATGTCAACAAACAGGAGGAAAATGGTTGGTAGGGCAAGCAGCCGAAGTATAAACCACTTGACATTTTTTTTAGCGCTGGTATTATTACATTTATGTGGAAGGGAAGAGCGAGACTATTAAAAATACATGCATATGTGTAAAAGTAAATGAAGACGATTTTCTTAGAGTGGAATTTACGTTAGTAAAAAGTATATGATTGCCGTCAAACTTGATAGAAATAGGATGGCAAATTCTGGTGCACATGAGGTAAGCTGAAAGTACTTTTCTGTCTATATATTATTGTAGTTTTCTATATATGGCGGCATAAAGTAACAAAGTATAATTTTTCGACTGCATGAGTAACTGTTGAGCTAGAACAATACAACTCCCCTTGGGAATAAGCCTCAGTAGGCCAATAATTTTGTATGTATTGCTTTTTTTTCCATCATTTAACTTTTGAAACAAAATTCCAGTTTCCAATTTCTGGTTTCTTATTTAATAGATGCTAAGAGCTGTGTTGTTTCTCGGGCTGTGGATATCAGCTTCATCATTCTTAGTAAGTTTAATTATGCAGCAGCTGTCATAGTTTGCCTCGTTTTTTTTT